TTATGGTGAATTACAAAATAGGCCAATCAAGTAAAAAATCAATCAAAGTATGTCTCGATGGATATCTCGAATAATCAATTGCAATAAAATGTTTTCTGATATGAACGAAACTTCTACCAGCAGAGTTAATGTTATCATTTCCAAATCAGGTTGTCGTATTCTTCACCATGTTGTGTTCTAATGAAAGGCAACACCACCAACAACTATTTGGCCCAAGTTAAAAAGACATTTGTGATACCTCTGCATGTTTACAGGCAGACTGTTTTAACTGTTTTAAAAATTCTTTCTCTCCGATTGTTAGACTTCAAGGTCTTCGCATTGTCTAATTTTAATTTTAATATTTAAAAAGATTATTACCCAAATGTACCTCTACTGGACCTGTCGTACGACCTCCATATATTGATGTACATATACAGGGACACTGATGTACGTAAAGAAGGCCCTCATGTATATATTGAAGCTTCATTAGCTATGTATGCATCTTATGTACATACACGTTCCTATTCATAAATACCGCAAACATTCACTCATGGCTTTAATGGTTAGGTTTAGCCAATGCATAGAGCTGGTACGAATCCTAACCCTCTTCCTTAAAAAAATCTTTTCAGTTTAAGTTTATTCTTTAAAATTTTTCTAATTTCTTCTCCACAAATAAATATCTACGTGAGAGGCCTTCTGTACGTACATCTGTGACCGTACGACAGATCCTTCTATCTATCTCCTGCGTTCCGCTCCGACAACCTTCTTTGAAGTATATCCTTCTTTGCAATGATTTTGTTTAGTACAACGATTTGGCAACTAGGTGTACATTTAATGTAAAAATTGAGCTCAAATTCCGTCACAGTCAAGAAATCAATACTAGACATCTATCTATGTTAAAAGAAAACCTCAATTTTAACATTAATGTCTATTTTGGTGGTCCGTACKACAACTTTTCCACGCATCACAGATCGCATCATTTGCTAAAAAATATCTACTTGTATTTGAACATTTCCKGCGCTCTGTCGGTACTGCGGAAGTCAGACGGCGAGAATCACTGTGTAATCATAGTAAGTATAAGGAGTAACTTCATTCGCTCTTTGATTTTTAGTATAGCTATTTTTAGTACTAAATCGAAATGGAATATTGATTGTGAATATTAATTGTGTGACACCTGTTGTCACGCACAACCAGTTTCACAACTGTAAACAGCATTTTGAGCCTCGCAAGTTTTACTCTTAGAAACGCGCGCTGAAATACTGATATACAGTTGCTTACTTCAGAGAAAGATTCATTAAAAATGTGGCTATAATAGCTTTACAATCACAGTGATGAACTCTTATTAAAAGCAATGGTGACCTAGTACTTGTACAAARTGAACGTACAGAAGAAGCATCTTAAGATAGCTGTTATTGGCAGTGGAATAGCTGGACTTAGCAGCTCATGGCTTCTTAGTCTTCATGGGCATGATGTTCATATTTACGAGAAAGAAAGAAGCCTTGGTCTTGGTTCGCATTCAATCGACATCGGATCTAATGGTGATGTGGTTGATGTGCCTATTCGTTGCTTCAGTGAAGGCTTTTACTCTGAGCTATTAAATCTTTTTCAATACGTTGGTATTGAGACGTCTATTCTGAGTCTTTCGCCGTCGATCCAGGTAAGCATTTTATATTGTGATATAAACAATTTATCAAAAATTTAGCCAAACTCTGAAAACCTGAGTTATCAGCCSGCAAAGCTGATGCGTTAACTGATTTACCCGTATAGATACACTTAGTGTTTTACAGATGCTGAAAAAGCGTGAATCTGGGCTAGGTAGAGTTTAGAATTAGGTAGTTTTTTTAGAATTAAAGAAAGTTTGTATGAGTCTTTGGTTTAGAGAAGATCTTTGGCTCACCCAAACAAGGCCAAAACAACATATATGGCACCAGCTTGTCTTGTCATCGGGTCACAATTTCGTACGGGCGATGTCAGAGGGCAAGACCTCGCCGGATACAAAGTTCAATTGGTAATCAGCAGTGATAAATTTTACCTCAAACTGCTTATCGTTTATGTGGGATCAAAATGCTTTCGACTACCGCTCAGTGCACATGCTAATTAGAAGTTCAGTCAATGATATCTAATATATTTTCACATATTTTTCAGCTTTTTCCGGATAATAATTACACTTTTTCATCTTTCTGGCTGTTATTGTGTATATACATATATCTCGATAAAATCAGATAAAACATGCACTCTCGTTCTTTTAACAACACATATCGGGAAAGAAGAGAATCAACATGCAGTTGACTGTCAAAAATGTTTTATCCAAAATGAGACTAACCCTTTATTCTTAAGGTTTACCCTTTAATGCCGGCGATTTATTTTTGATTTTAGTTGTTTTGTAATTAACTAATTTTTCAAAATACTAATGTCAGTACTGAAATGTTAAGGAGTTGTCAATCAAACTTTTGTAGATTGCATTACTCTGAATATATAAATAAGCTTTAATGTAGTGAAAGAGAGGAAAATAATTTGACTTAATCCCGGCACTTAAAAACTTGCATTTCACTTCTCAAAATATTCAACTTGCTGGACTTATTACGTAATCGACTGATTTGACTTCTAAAACAACAACTTGACAAAGTGTCCAAATATATCAATATTTATATTTATATTTAATGGCCAAGATCAGAATGCTCACCAATCTCGTTACCCAAAGCCCGCGTAACTTTTGGTCTTCGACAAAGAACTTGGCTCTGTAATAATACCGGAAGCCAGAATCAGGCAATTTCGCCAATGCGCAGTAGAAATCCGATCTAAGGGCTTTATAATTTGACTGATTTTACTCAAAAACATTGGCTTAACAAAAGCCTTCGCAATCATAGAAGGGATTTATTAGACCTTGAATGATAATTCTCATACTCATTAATTATTCATGAGGTATCCAGCCAGTACCTGATTGTAATTTGTACCACGTGAAGTAACTTGAAAGCAGAGGAAGTACTCCTACCTTTGTATTCTACCTCATTTCCCGGTGGGGGGACTCCCTAATATCAAAGGGCGGGGTCCTCGGCGGAGATTGTGAAAATGACCCCTAAAAGGGACCTCTATTGTGAGATGATGGGCGTGGCAGTGCTGAAATTTCAACCCTAAAAGGGACCAATCAATAACAGGTCATTTTGTTTTGGTTTACCGATTTTATTTTATTTTATTTTATTTTCCTTAAAATAAAGTTTATTGGCGTGACTGTGTGTTGAAGACTTCACGTATTGGGTTTAATCCTGTCCAGCATTATGAGATTTTATTTGTGTTTTTACACAATCATCGAACACCGTCGGCTCGTATTGAGTTTATGACGACGTTGCCATTTTATGACTGCTTAGGGCCGCCTTATACCCCAAAAGGGACCACAAAACACAGTTGGTAGGAATTCTTGTCATGATCACCCTAAGCGGGAACAAAATACTGATTTCAAACCCTAAAAAAAACGCCGAGGACCCCCGCCCTTTGATATTAAACATCAATTATGTTCAGAATCGAAGCTTCCGCAGCTACTACAATGTTATTCTACCCGTATTCTAGAGCCCATGGTCGTTATAACGCAGCGGTTGCGCGCATGCTCATGCATAACGGCCTCTTGTTTCCTCTTCGAAGCTAGCCTCCGTGGAAGACGTTCCAAGCGGTTCGATTCTATCCCGCAGATTAGGCGAGAGAATCGAACCGCTTAGAACGTCTGCTACGGAGGCTAGCTTCGAAGCTACCTGAGCACTTTTCATTTTATCCTGTGCCCTTGAGAATGAGGACTTAGAAAGGATTTAGAATTAGTGACCAATGTATGGAATATTGTAAAACGGGATTTATATATTTGATATCAAAGAGGCAAGATTTTGCTGTAACTCCGAGTTTCGTGCTACGCACTCATCAGACAGTATTTAAGATTTTGCTGTAACTCCGAGTTTCGTGCTACGCACTCATCAGACAGTATTTARTTTTAACGGGATTTATATATAGACCCTTTAATTCGACTAACGRCGCAACCAACACAAGGTCCAGATACCTTACGAACTTTAATGTACCTCTGAGAAACCCCTATACCTACGCCCATGCCGGGATGGGGTGAACTACGTAGCACGCAGTTGATGTAATGTATTCATAAAATGTATTGTATTCCATTGTTTCTCGTTCTATTGTATTATGTGTTTTGTATTATATCTTTATGAATGTATTACATCAACTGAGTGCTRCGTAGATTCTCCCATTTAATAGGCCTTTTTCCAGTTCAATGCGAGCGACCGCTGTAAGTAAACAACAGACTCACTTGCGTAGACAACAAAAGAAAGCACGAAAAAATGTTGGCATTACAATAGCTCTAGAAATTTGAATCTTCTGAGATTTGAGGCTTAGCCTGTATTCCCAGTAGCTCAAATAGGAGAAAATGCAAATTTGTGGGGCTAATGTGTAAGGACAAACGTTTTTCGTGTTTTCTTTTGTTCTCTACGCAAGTGAGTCTGTTGTCAACTTAAACAGCGGTTGTTCGCTTTGAAATGGCAAAAGGCTTATTGATTGATGGTATATTATATTCACCAGATTTATGGGCAAAGTTGCCATTACAAGCTGTACAATTATCTATTTGGTGGACTAGCAATACCATACATACATCCTTTGGAATTCCTTAAGAACCTGTCATCTTATTGGACGATTTTCATAGATATGTATTGGTTTAAGAAGGCAACTTTTTCCATGCAAGAGAACAAGGTAAARAGGTTGTTGTCTACAGTTACCACCATTATCTATGATGACAAAAAATGCTAAGGTTAACTGCCAGCGAAATTTTCCATTGCATAACTCCCTCGCTTTGCATCAAAAAGGCTTGTCTAGTTACAATTTTTACACATTTTTTGGTTGAATCATATGGGCTTAGCGGTGTGTTAGTAAATTAAATTGTCGCGAGACTGGACAACGAGACTGAATCCGATATCTAAGGGAAAATCTTTCTTTTTTTGCTCTTGTTGTGTTGTTTCCTTCTTCTTTCTTAATTTTGAACATTTTGGCATAAATATTCTACATTTCTGTCGACTAATAAGAGCCTAAGCCCATTATAGCAAAACCTCCAAAATTTTAGTGGTACGCTCTCAATCGATGGATTTGTTTGATTTGAATCATATAATGCTAACATCCTATATATAAAGTGCTAAAAATTTAAAAAAAGAAGGACAGATTTTTTCGTGCGCTGGAAGGCAAAACAAGTGACATCAAACGAAAAATTRCTAAAAATACACCGCTAATATCTCTATTGATTCAACTGATACATACGTGAAAAACGAATTTTAAACGAATTTTAAGAGCTCGTTCCAGTTATTTCGGTTATCTGTTTTTTGCACATATTTATGGCCGTGTCTAATCACTATTTTCTTTTCAGGACATTCGCTCCTCTCTGTCAAAAGTAACGTTAGCAAAATACATGCTAGATAATAATTACTCCAAGGAATTCACAGACAGGTTTCTTATACCAATTTTTGCAGGTACGACAAGGTCTTTTTAAAGGATCACATAGATCATATATATATATATAACCGATGTGTATAGCCTTCAAAGCCTCGTTTGAACCAATGCTGTTCCTGTGTTGATGGATGTGGCGCGCGAACTCTGAAGTTTTTACACCAAAGTGGACACATGTTCTCTGCAACACGTGTTTTCAATAATGTGCAGTAATGCGCCTTTGCTTTTCTGATGTAAAATTTAAGTTTTATATTTAAAAGGAAACATTACATTTAAAAGGAAACATTGTAGTTTCTGTGAACTGTTACTGAATCATGACCTATTTTGTCCAATATCAGTCATAGCTAGCAGCTCAGCGCAAGATGCACGTAACTACCCAGTTACTGTTGTCATGGATTTTCTAAGCACGATGTTGCTGACGGGTAAAACTACTCGTCGTATGAAAGAAGGAACTCGGGAAGCGAGTAAAACGTTGGCAAAGGTATCATCTCCTTACACGTAGTGCTTTTCTAATGCTATAGGATTATCACCACGGCGTTGATAACATAAATCATTAGGAWGTTCCTGGTTCATCCACAGTCGTCTCTATTCGCGAGAGAATCAAGGGAACAATGCAAACAGATAGTGTTCTTCCTTCTTTCGTTGATACATTGGGTGAGAGAGACTGGTGGGTGGAGTCAGAGGAAGTTGCAGTCTTTATTCACACAACTAATATAGGCTATGCGCAGAGACGGCAAACTTTGCAACAAAGTATGATGGGAGAGTGTAGTTCTCATAGTTCTTCCTTTTCACTAAAACGGTCCTCATRTGCCGTCTTTACTTCATCTTTGCAAAAATTTAAGTAGTTAAATAGTTGTTTTTGTAGAGCTGTTTTATAATAGAGTGCTTTATAACAGAACAACTATTTTTAAAACTACTTAAATTTTTKTAGGGGCTCAATTTAAAGTGCGAGGACTACAATTCCCATCATTTTTTTCTTAAACAAAATGGCGTCGWTTAACCTATTCGCGTTACATCTATTGCTCGCACGGCAAAACTTAACTTGATTTAGCCTGGATCTAGCCATGTTGTTCTACGGCAGCGTTGTGTACAACTAATATATATGCACAGTTTGAGTTGGCTAAGTGGCTGTATTTTGATGATTAGGGTATCAAAGTAAAACATACCAGCGTCAAAGTTGAAAGAATCGTACCCTTGCGTGACATGATGGGCAAGGTACAGGGACTAAAAGTATATGCTGATGGGCTTCCTGTGGAAACATTCGATCACGTGATTGTTGCTACACAAGCCAATCAGGCTTTGGKTCTGTTCCAGGATGACCAAGATAAGAGAAGAGAGGAGGCTCTTAAGGGATTTACTTATGTGTGGAGTGAAGTTGCGATACATTCTGATGAGGTAGAAGTCATAATGATGATATATWATTCTTAAAGGAAAATTAGATTCTACCTGGCCAGCGTCCTGTTGAGGATAATGATATATCACATTTGGTCTGGGTGTCTGGACGCCTCTCTACGATAACTGTAATCTAGCGAGGAAAAGAAAAACGAACGGGAAGGTTAAAAGAACACAGAGAATTAGTCCTCAATTTTATATAATAAGCAAAACAAGKGATATTGTACCGATATCCATCGGATGTTTTTGCTTTCTTTCAGCGTCTGATGCCTGTTCACCAATCGCAATGGTCAGCATCCAATGTCTTTGTTCAGCCAAATTGCCCAGAAACGGCAGTCAATCGGCTGACAACAAGCGGCTTTTCTACTGATAAAGACTGCAGCTTCAAAATAAACCCATGTATTAACATTGATACGAAGGGACTGGGTGACTGTTCACCCGGAGGAGCYATTATGTGCACAATGTGGCAAAACAAGATACAGCCCTTGAAGAYGAATAGTGCGACTAGAAAAGGTGCTATGAATGTCTTTCAGACTTGGAATCCTTGGATCAAACCACGCCCAGAAAAAGTTTACGTAAGCTTAAACATACATTAATGATTTGCTTCGGTTTATATATATATTTTTTTCTTAATCAAAAWTCTACGTTTTCGAGGTTGTCAGTGCTTTCACAAACCAAGGACAGGCTGCAGTTCTTTGTAATACGCTGCATATYACTTTTATTTAGCTGATAATAGTATAAGACCTTGAAAACTCTCAGTAGATATGCCTTAAAAGTACATGCGGAAGAGAAAATGTTTCCCAAGAAATTACGGGCATAAAAAATCTGTCATCATGTTGACGAGAGCCTAACGCAAGTTTTCAGCTTTCTTATCAGTTCAGTTGAAGGACTGAAGGTCAACCTTGACGAACCCTTGATCTATTACTTATAGCAGTAGCTTATTCTTGTATCTTTCCAAGCAGCCAAATGGATACCACTACTTTGAGCGACCTGTTGTTACTATTGAAACTGAAGAAGCTTTGCGGAAGCTACAAGACATCCAAGGACACGACAACATATGGTACAGTACGCACTAGCTAGAATATCGTAAACGTTACTATTAAAAAATGACTGCACCATTTTTTTTTGGCGGGGGGGAATAACAGCTAATGAATTATTAATGACTTCCATGATTGGATTTATACTTACACTTATTTCAAAAACCGTTGTCGGAGACATCGGGGCAAACAATGATTGTTAAACGGCGATTGCGCTGTTCGACTTAAAAACGGTGCTTATAGAGTACTCAAGTGTGACGTCACAAAGAAACTTTTTTTGGAATTTTTCGCATTCGTTGAAATATCCTTGAAGTAGCATAATGGAATTTGCATGAGCATGCGCTAAAACCGCTGATACACGTCTGTTAATTGCAGTCACATTTGTGATTATTTTGCGATTTTGACATTTAATTGGAGTTCAGAAAAGACATTAAAATACACAGATCAGTCCAAATATAGTTMGCTCAAATTTACTTTAAGTACATTTAAATAGTGAATATGCCTACAATATATAAAACAGGYATAAAAATCATATAAGACATTTTTTGGTTTCATTTTTCATATTGAGATTTATAAAATACACAAACAGCAATATTACAAGTAAAATGCAGATTATTTGATTATTTATTAGGCTATACTTAGAACATTGAACAAATTTCAAACAGTTTGGTATTAAAACGTTCGAGTGTTGTCAATCGTAAAGAAATACGGAATCGGTGATAGTTGCGATATATATGTCCTATATGTCCAGAAGAAACCTCAGCTTTTGAAGACTAAAGCTGTGCAATTAAATAACATTGTTTGAAGCCTCCACGGCTCTCCACGTTACGATCTGCATCAAAGACACTTTTGTGCTCATCGGTATGATAAATTAGCAGCATTCTAAAGAAAGATTGGTTATGATATAGGTTGAAATTTGGACCTATTAACRTTCTTTGCGAAAGAAGAACTTTAGTGCATCGAGTTTTGATGTACATCATGGGTTATCATCTACAATGATTATGCATCTTACTTGATACACCTGACTTCAATGAACGAGCAACTGACGCATGCGCACACGAAACTCCGTTATGCTCCTTGAAGTAACCTCATAACGAAAGGAACAAGACCAAATTTACAAGCGTATGTATGTGGTCACCCGACAATAAAATCGCTTGTATCTCCGCTATAAATGTCACTATGGAGGGCAAATTTGAAAACTCAAACATTTTCGTTTTGTGACGTTATCACTTGAGTACTCTATTGAAAATGGATACTTAATGGTATATATTTACCATAAGGTGACTTACAGTATAAATCGGTTCCTGWCGCTTTCAACGAAAGAACAGACCAATCTAATAGGCTGGTCTATTCAATTCTCTTTCGCAAACTAAATTATAAAGCACGCGCACATCCTAAGACATTGCTTGAAATATGTTGAGTTGCTACCCTGGCTCCAGAGGTTTGATATTTCCTCTCTTCGCTATTGTTTTTGTCGGCGCTAAGCGCCGTAATCGATKCCGTAAGGCCGAGCGAAAATCAAACCTCTGGTAGGAGTCGGTTGGAATCTCACTTCCATACTCACTTCGCTCGGCCTTACGGTCTCGATTACGGCGCTTCGCGCCGACAAAAACATCAAGCCTCTGGGACCAGGGTATATTGGGTTGCTTGTATTTGATTAATTGCTTGCTTGTTCGGTTGATTGATTGCTTAAATGCTTGTTTGTTCGGTTTCTTGATTGATTGATTGATTTTTTGAATTGGTAGGTTTATTGGCGCATATAGTCAGAGTGGAGTGCCTTTGCTTGAAAACGGTGCCGACAGTGGTCTGACAATTGCTGAGAAGATAACCAAGCAACAAAGACCATGGAAAAGGAATACACGCAAAGAAATACACTATGGTCTGACAGGAAAAAAAATAATTATGATTATTTTTGTAGTTGGATTTGTTGTTTTTAGTTTCACGTCTTTTCTTTTCCTTATTGTGTAAAATATTCAGCTAAATCATTACATAATGTCATAAATAAAAATTATAAAATAATACCAGGACTAATTTATCTTATAATGATAATKAATAGAACAGTATAGATAAATAAACTTCAAATAGCTTTGGTAAATATCAAAAATGTTTTCATTGCTTAAAATAWGTGGAGGCATGAGTTAGGAGGCTACAGCTCAGCATATTTTAAGTCCTTAAGGCTGATTT